TGCTCCACTAGTTCCGGTTTGCACACTTGACCATGAAACCAGCACACTCCTGTGGGGCATCAAGCTCATGAAGACACAGTGATGAAACCTGTTAACACACGAAGAGCCTCTCTGAATGGGTCGGCACGTCGATGAGACGTAACAAAAGTGCAAATCTTCCCCCTCTCCCCCTCCACGTCGCCGAACTGCGCCTTTTTAGTGTTGTTTCCAAGCCGCACTGCGCCGCTATCTTAGATATGCACCGGTCTTCTTTGCTCGCGTGTTGTCACGGTCCTACGGTCCTTCTTATTCAGATGCGGGTCATCACAAAACAAGCTATCGATGCGTTACGTGAGTTGGAGCAAACGTCCTCAGCAGAGATCGTGAAATTGAAGCAGGTAAATGATTCAGCGTTTCTTTTTTTCTCTTTCTCTTTTTTTGTTAAGCACAGTGGTTCAATGGTTTGAGAATAGGATAGGGGAGATAGAAGGGTGCGCTTTCGTATTCAGTTTCGATTTTTGTCCCCACACTTAACTGTTTATACTTTCGCTCTCCGCTTTGAGATGATGTAGTGACAAGTAGAATGCTTACCACTCGTGCAATCCTGGGGTGGATTGGTTCCCGCCTAAGCCAACCAAACCTTCTACCTTCCAGGACGGTAAGCTGGTTTTTGTTTGGTAGGAGAAGACCATTCTCTGGAACACCATCTCTTCCTATCCATAGCCTTTGTTGCACCTTCCGACTTCCCCTAGCTCCTCATATCCCTCAGCCCTGACCAGGCGACATTCCCACTTCTCCTCCGTCTGCTTCTTTGGCAAACTGAAGGACTCAAGGAAGTCAGCCGGAAAGAGATAATGGTATCACCCTCCCACTTACCTCCTCAGGTCCTTCATTTCCCCTCAAAGTAGTGAGGGCAGCGAATACCCTGGAAATTCTTACTTGAAGATCCTTTTCCTTCATCTTTTCTTACAAATCGATGCTAATCGCTCGACATAAAACCCTCCACTTCCCCTGCTAGCCAAACGCAATATCTATTACTTTCTTTTATATCGATGTCATATTCTGGTTGACCAGAGATCAGTTTCGCAAGAAGCTGGTAAATGAGGAACCTATTCGCCGAAGGAATAATTTTTGCTTTTCGATAACTGTGCGATATTTCAGAAGCAGGCGTTGTCACTGGCGCAGAGCAACACTTTCCAAAATCAACTTAAACACACAACGGCTCAGCTTGAAGCGAAAAAGGAGGTGAGCTCATGCAAAACTTTGTTGCTGGGTCGTAAGGAGATCATCCCAGTGGTGAGTGTTAGTACTCGATGGAGACCGTTTGAGGCTTGCGCGCAGGCCACAAAATCAGTGCTGCGGCAGCGTGATGATTGTTGCGGCTCGTTTTGCATGTAACGCCGCTGCGCCGCTGCGACTAGGATTTCTTTGACCCACGCCTTGCAAGCTTGGGTGGCATGAATTCATTGTGGAACGAATGGGGACCTTGTTCTGGTTTTGTTACTCGGAGAGCCAGAATCGCTGGATGTGGATGTTTAAGGAAGTAAAAGAAGCCAACAAACAATTGGATATGTTGCGCTTCGAGAGGGATTCACTGAGGAATCACACTGATCAACTTGAACAACAGCTAGATCGTGAGTGCAAATCTATCAAATAAAAAGAGTTCTAGTTTTGTTGACTCAATGAACTGTTTCATCAGAGCACAAGTTTCAGAAGCTGAATCTGGATTACATGACCTCATGGCCGACCTGAGAAAGAAAGATGAGACTCTTCAAGCTAAATGTGCAGAAGTTGGTTGAAGACATATTCCGCGGTAATCAGATTGATCGGGAAGTGGGCGGAAGATCATAGCCACTTCGTTGTCCTCATTGGTGGGCTTTCTGCTGACTATAAGGAGAAGAAGAGGGGTGTGCCAATGAACAAAACGCATTGTGAATCTCCGCCCACTTCCTCGCCCATCATCCAATTATAGCGGAACGCTTTGGGGTATGGCGTATTTCAGCTTGGTGAGAACTCCAAATAGTATCATCGAGGCTTATACAGGTCACCTTGTGAATATCTGTGAATTCCTTCAAGGAAAGGGGCTCAGTTATACCATTTCACGGCTTCACAAGAGTTCCCAGGTCTTACCAGGGTGAGGTTCGTTAGTTAGGATGAAC